TGTTATAGTGTTAATAAGTGTTGATATAAAATAAAGTTTTAATTATTCAATATGTAGATCTTAACACAATATCTCAATATTCAGATATATATTTATATTCAAATATCTAAATTTTAATGCATGTTTTGCCATTAAGATATGCATTCATAATCAAATGTATTAGTCTTAATAAAAAACAAATAAGACGAGACATTGAGCTCTAAAGGGTGATAATATTCATATAAAATTATATTATAGATAAATTGATAAATAGTGTTGCTATCTTGTTTAATACTAACAGAATAACAAAAACTATAAAGAGAAATATGAAGAAAAAAAAAAGCGTGTACACATAATATATCTCTACTTTGAAGGTAGAGAGATATTTTATCATGGAGGAGCGAAAGATATGAAATTAAATATCTCACAGTAAGACATTGAGCTCTAAAGAGTGATAATATTCATATAAAATTATATTATAGATAAAATTGATAAATAGTGTTTCTATCTTGTTTAATACTAATAGAATAACAAAAACTATAAAGAGAAATATGAAAGAAGAAAAAAAACGTGTACACATAATCTATCTCTACTTTGAAGGTAGAGAGATATTTTATCATAGAGGAGCAAAAGATAAGAAATTAAATATCTCACAGCAAGCCATATTTCAAAAAAAATCCCTCAAATGTTTTGTTTATTTTAAACTATTTAAATAAAATTAGAATATTAATTATGTTGTCCAATAACTACAAAGTTTTTAAAATTAACTTTCATTTAAAAAATATTCAACATATGCAAACATAATCAAGCATGATTATGAAGACTACTCTAATCATGTTTTGACAAATATTTTATTTGTTACATATCAAGAGAGGATTACTAAATTTTTCCATTCTATCCTAATCATTAATTATCTGAACACGTAAATAAGTTTGTAAAATTAAAATAAAAAAATTAAAAGATAAATTAATAAAACTAACATTCTTATTTATGACTTCTTAAGAGACGTGTAAAGAAAGAATATGAAGAATCAATATTAGGACAGAATAAGCATGTATTTTACTTTTAAAAATATGCTTTTATAAAAGTAAAATGTCATGTTTAAAATGCACAATTCAAAAGTTTGTTTTTAGAATATTATATGCACATACGTTTTTAGATCATAAAATCCAAAATCTTATCTTTTAGAATTTTATACTTATCAAATTAAAACACATAAACAAAGGATAACTTATAAAAATCTCTTTAGTTTAATCTGCTAATTATTTAGATTTATGAATTTTATTAAATTTTTGGAGTGTCTAGATAAATATATCTCGAGATACATGAGGTTAATATTAAGTGTAATTTGTTATAGATACACTGTATCCAAATGGATTCACATGTATATGAGATACACAAACAAATCTTGCTCACCATTCTCATATCTCGCTCGTAGATCTGGTATCCAAATACATGTGAATCACATCACATATATGTCTGGTGTGATTCACGTGTTTATGAGATACCAAATACACGAGCGAGATATGAGAATAGCGACTAGTGAACGAGATGTGATAAAAGACAAATTTTGCTAGTCTCCCTGCACTCGCTCAACTCTCTCCCTAATTCACTATATGTAGTAGCAAGAAAACACGTATATAGTAGATATATGTATAACTTGAATTATTGTCACGACCCAAGCCTAGGGCCTAGACGTGACCGGCGAATGGGGAACCCGAAGGAACCCCAAACAAGCCTCATAGC